TAATTCCATTTATATGAGGTACATAGGGTAATCAAGTTCCTAAAGACAGTATAATGGTGGTTGCCAGTCAGGGAAGGTAACAGGCATTGTTTAATGACTATGGAGTTTCATTTTGGTAAGAAAGTTCTGGAGATAGATTTGATTCTGCACAACAATGTGAATGTATTTAATGCCATTGAACTACACATTTAAAAATGGTTAAAATGGCCAATTTTATGTTTTTTACCACAATAAACAATGAATTGCTTATATGCTTAGGCTTTATTATGAGCCAGATACTATGCTAAATTCTTTATATGGATTTTTCTCATTTAATGTCTATTGTTATCTCCCAATTTATAATAATAAATGCAACATAATAAATCCTCCTAGAGAAAGTGACTTATTCAAGGTACACTAGTAAGAAGCAGATCTGGGATTGAAACCCTCACAGTCTGACTCCAAAGTCTATGTGCTCAGTCAGAGTGCTATAATGAAAAGACTGTCTCCATTAACATAATGAAGTAAAAAGCAAATTAAAATATTTTTCAAATACTAGTTTAGAGTTGATCCAAGACTTAAAGAATATAAAAGACTTAAAAAATGAGGTATCAAAAAGATGTCAAATCCAGGCTAGGTATAATGGGATACCTAAAATAATCCTGCATCAATCTTCATCATGAGAAGTTCTTATCCCAAAACCATAGCATCTCCAGAAATAAGAGAATAAACTTTGATGCCCAAGAAATAGAAGTAGAATATTTACCTGACACCTGCCCCATTTTCCCACAAGCCTTAAAACATTTCAGTTTCTCTATTTTTTTTTTAATAAATGTGTTGTGGTTCTAAACCACAATATTTTCAATGATGAAAAACAGAGCTTTTCCACCATTTTCATGAATAAAATAAGGTTGTCCATTCCTGGTATTTTTAAAAGATTTTATTTATCTATTTGACAGAGAGAGAGAGACAGTGAGTGAGGGAACACAAGCAGGGGGAATGGGATAGGAAGAAGCAGGCTTCCCCCTGAGCAGGGAACCCAATGTGAAGCTCAATCCCAGGACCCCGGGATCATGACCTGAGCCAAAGGCAGACACTTAACAATTCAGCCACCCAAGCGCCCCACTCTTGGTACTTTAATTCAACATAGTACCAGAAGCCCCAGCAATCAGACAAGAAAAAGAAATAAAAGGCACCCAAATTGGTAAGGAAAAAGTAAAACTTCCACTATTTATAGATGACATGATACCCTATATAGAAAACCCTAAAGACTCCACCAAAAAAGTACTAGAATTTATAAAGAAATTCAGTAAAATTGCAGGATACAAAATTAATATACGGAAACCTGTTGCGTTTCTATATACTAATAATGAAGCAGCAGAAAGAGAAATTAAGAAATTAATTAAGAAAACAACTCTAATTATAATTGCATTAAAAAGAATAAAATACCTAGGAGTAAACTTAACCAAAGAGGTGAAACATCTGTACTGCAAAATATCAAATACTGCTGAAAGAAACTGAAGAAGACACAAACAAGTGGGAAACTATTCCATGCTCATGGATTGGAGGAACCAATATTGTTACAAATACTATGTCATTTCACTCATATGTAGAATTTAAGAAACAAAACAAATGAACAAAATATAGGAGTCAAACAAAAGAATAGACTCTTAAATACAGAAAACAAATTGGTGGTTGCCTGAATGGACATGGATGGGGGAGGGGTGAGGTAGATAAAGAAGACTAAGAGCACACTTACTGTGATTAGCACTGACTAATGTATAGAATTGTTGAATTATTTTACACCTGAAATTCACATAACACTGTATGTGAATTATATTTCAACTAAAAGAATTGTGGTCCCATTTTTATTTTCAAATGGTCCCATTTTATTAGATCTATACCTGTGAGTAGACCCTTACAGAAGGACTGAAAGGATACAGACCAAACCGGTAACAAAGTCACCCTCTGAGGAGAGTAGTAAAAAGAGAGGAAACCAAGTAAATAAAGGGGAAACCATTGCTTCTGACTCTTAAACACTTTGTTTTCAAAAAGGATAATCATTTGGCTGACATTTACTGAATATCTACCATACGTCTGAGTATTAAGGTGGGTTTTGTTCAAACAAGATGAAAAGACAGAGTGCTGGCCTGCAATGTGCCCCATCTAATGAACGAGCAAAATGTCTTCTGTCTCCAAACACAGTATATCCCATAGACATGATTCATGTTGATATTCTGGACCCTCCAGGGAAATTTTACCAGCTCAATTCTTCAAATGTGCCCTTCCCTTCCCATGATCCTACTCCCATGGACTTCTTGACTATCATCATAACAAGCAAGAGTAGAGTGTAGCCTAGTAGTTAAGGCTTGGGCTCTAGAGTTAGACTGGCTGTGTACTTGCCATTTGTTCACTGTGTGACCTTGGGCAAGTCTCTTAAGATGCCTGTGCCTCTGTCCCCTCAGTCAACAGGTAAGAGGATTACATGAGCTAAATTACATTAAGGCCTCGGAATAACATTTGCCATGTACTAAGTGGCCAAGAAATGTTAGTCACAGATGTCTTAAAGAGCCATCTGCAAACAACAGACTGTCCCAGAAATGAGGAGAGAAGAAAAAAAGATCATCCAAGAGAGCTAGAACCTTAGAGATAATTTTACAAATGACAGCACAAAGAAAGGCATAATGGCTCCATGTCTTGCCCGAGGTCACACAGGTGGTCAGCAGCAGCGCCAGGGCCAGAACTCAGGTTCTCTCTGCCCCAGCACAATGCCCTCAAGGAAGAGAAAGCAGGAGAGTGCCAGCCTGATGCATGTAGGTTTACCTGACAAGTCTTACCTACTTCCATAACTGTGAACTACAAAGTTACAAGTATTAACATGTGAAGAGATGATTCTCTCAGCAGGGGGAGAAAGAGCTGCTCTGCAGACACAGTGTCTATGGGAGAACGGGAGAGCTGGAACAATCACATCCATACCAAAGACTTTAGGGCAAGGCCTATCTCTAAAAAGTGTCAGGAATAATCGCCCGGAATAGCAGACTACATCAACAGAGCTTCCAGACAAACACCATGGAGTCTAAAAGGAACGGCCCAGGCTCATTGCTCAGTCCTAACCACACAGCCTGCTGGCCCTGAAGAGAGGTCACAGAAGTAGTGGAGTGGACAAGGAGCACATGCTGGGCAAGAGGTGGAGACAGGACCCCAGAAAGAGATTGTTCCAGAAACACTTCCACCATATAACTGCTGCCATTTCAGCTTACCATCCCCCACCCTTCTACATCCCAAGCCTCCCCTTCTGCACCAGCCTCTCCATACTGTCCTCTCCTGCTTCTCCCACCTGTCCAACCCTTCCATCCATGCACCTTTCACAGATTATCTTGCATCACAACCCATTGTCCCCAAGGATAGACCCATATTTTCCAGCCTTGGTGCTTTGCCCATGTTTCCCCTTTCTCCTAGAATGCCTGCCACCTGCTGTTCCATGAACCCTTTACTTTTAACCAAACCTGTTTGGCAAAATCCTTTCCCAGAAAAACAATCTTCTATGAATCCACCCTACAACAAGAAGTCCTCTTTCCATTCTTTGCACTCCCAGAATCTTCTAGCTCTCTCTCTGGCACCTGATAAATTCTACTCTCCTCTCAAGACTCTCTCTCCTTTACAGCCTTATATACTGCCTTATTAATAAGAAGTCAGCACTCAGTAAATGCTAGTTGCTAATCTGGGGGGTCAGAATGGTAGCTGAGAACCTGACATGAAGCTGAGGAAGCCGAGAAGGAAGGAAAGGAGAGTACAACAGAAAAGACTTACAATGTGCCAGAACTATTGTTTAACCTATGTTAACGCACTTAGTCCTTGAGACAACCCATGAGGTAGGTAGGTAATAATATCTACACATTACAGAGGAGGAAACTGAGGCACAGATGGTCTCAGTAACTTACCCAAGGTTCAAACAGTGGGGTTGTGAGTTGAACCAAGCCAACAGGCTCTTTCTATTGTTTCTCTGCAACTCTGTTCCTTCTAACCCTGCATCCCTGAAAACCACTTCAACTGTTCCATCCACTGTTTGCACCACCGTTCTGACTCAAAAACACTCTGCAACTTGGCAATTATGGCACTAAATCTCCACCCATTGCTTCTGAACCAGAAATTACACATCAGTTTTGGTTAGATCTGCCATGACAATAAATAATATATGACAATGTCTCAAATCCAAAACATTGTTTAAACAAATTATAGATATTTGAATGGAATGAACCTCAGGCCATTCACCTAGCTCAACATTTGCCATCATTTCCTTTTCCAAATTCTGAAATATGTGTCACAATTATCTGCAAGTATACACATCTAATTATCACTCTAAATATTACTTTGATAGAATTAGAGATTAACATACAATTATAAGTTATCGACGCACACAATTGTCTGTCACATATTTAATGAGTTTTTGACCAATAGTAAAGGATTTTGGCCCCCTACTATGGATAAGAGAACACAGAAAAGATGTATTTCGTTACAACCACATTCACATGTATGTGAAACAGCAGTTACCTATAGAATTCAGAATGTAAGTTAATATTAAACATCCTATTAACAGAAGCAAAAGTTTTGTTAATTCAGAATAAGTCTGGTAACTTTCTCAATCTTGTATCCAAACAGGGAAGGTGGGGGTGGATAAAGATTTCAGCTTTACAAATATATATTCTGTTCCCACAGAAAGAAATAGGAAAATAAATTTTTCAGTAGATTCCACTTTGGGATTTGGAGAGGCTTACAACGGGATGCCAGTTAAATTTCTGTTCCCAGGAAATTTTTGAAAATAACACACACGTAACCAAAAAAATGAAATTAAATTGTTAGCAAAGCAGAAGGAAAGGAAGCCGGGGGTATGTGCAGTTTGTGGCAGCAAGCGATCTTCTCATCTCCCTGATGAAGAGTAGATAATGAGAACAGCAAAAAGACGCAGGAGAGAGAGATCACAGCGGGAGAAATAAGATATCCAGCACGTCTCCAGAACTTACCCAACTTGATCTGTTTACTCAACACTACTTTTCTCACTTTGCCAGTTTTAAATCAGACTGCGGCTGGGCTTTTGTTGTTGCTGTTTCTGTTCTTTTGATCCCAGAGCCCCATGAAAATTAAACTGTGTTGGATGGGATCTGGCCCCGTCTCAGCGGAGGAGAAAAGTTTAAGCTTGGATCCTCGGTTGCTTCTTTGGGAATATGAATAATAATAAATGGCTAGCAGGAGAGAACGTGGGGGACGTGCCCAGCTGACGTCGGGCCCGCGAGGGGGCCGCACAGTTCCCCAGCGCAGCTGTCCAGATGTGCTTCATCTGGTTCCCCCGCGGGGCACGAACCTCGGCGGGCCGACTACCCGAAGCTCCAGCTAATTGGTGGCTGCGACTCCTCGCTGGCCTCCTATTGGTCATCCAGCCGGCCACTCTCGAGTGTTTCGGCCCGCCCCCACCCGCCGGGCTAGTTCGCTCCATCCTCGAAAAGAACCTGGAAGTGCAGCGCGGGCGCTGATGTGGCACTCAGTAGCGGCAGCGGGCCCGGGAGGGGCCCGGGATCGAGAGGGGCTCCTGTGCACCCCAACTTTACCCCTGCCCTGGCCCCAGTTATACCCATGCTTTTAGGCCGTTAGGCTGGTCTGTTCAAACATGATGATTGCAGTCTGTTCTTGGGATGAAATTAAGGCACGCCAGAGTTGGCTTGAAGCCCCTGCATTTCCGAGTGGAAGGGACTGGGGCCCCGGGATGCCCACGCCCCCAAAAGGCGTTCAGGCCACGCCTGAGGACTTCACTCTTGCCGCTTTCTCTGGAGAGCCAATAATAAAATTCAAGAGACTGTTTCTTGGGGACAGTATTCTTTTGTTGGGGAAAAAAATTTTAATGAATCCTTCATTGAAGTCATTATTAGCCGGGAAGGTGGCTGTTTCCGCGGGGAAGCCCAGTGGTGGTTACAGGAGTGCTTTGGAAGACTTGGTTGGCTTGGAGTTTTTTGATGGGTGTTGGTAGTTGTGGAAAAATGAGAAATATTGCTTTATTTGTGAGAATTAAGATAGAACTGCACAAAAGGATACTTTGATCATGGGGAAATCATTGGTTGATTAGCTGGGGTGGAGAGGGGTGGTCTGCAAATCAATTGCAATTATAATGTAAGGACATGATAGAGATGTGACCTCTCTAAGTCACTGAGATGCCAAGAGCATCATTCATTTGGGCCACACACCATAAAATGTCCCAGGCCTTGTACTAAACTGCTTTACTCACATTATCATATATAATTCTTACTACCATCTTATCAAGTCAATGCTATAATTATCTCCATTTTCAGATGAGACTGCCAAGATGCAGAGAAGCCTATTCTAGCATGCTACCAAGGTCTCCAAATTATGTTTGTGGTACTGCATCATGGGGAATTACCATTATGATCTTACCTGCCATTTGTCAGGGAGGGGAGGAGTGGATCAGAATTTATTGAGTGCATACCTCTACCTTCTGATGTCCAAAGATTTCACTACACATATAATGTTCTCATGGTTGTTAAATTTGTTACCTATTGTTGTGTAACAGATTACCACAAATTTAGTAGCCTGAAACACCACACATTTATTATTGCACATTTTCTAAGGGTCGAGAGCCCAGGCATTGCTTAATTGGATCTTCTGCTTAGAGTCTCACAAGGTTGCAATCAATATGTCTGACAGGCTGCATTCTCATCTGAAGGTTCAACTGGAAAAGTATCTGCTTCTGAGCTCCCTTAGGCTGTTAGCAGCAATCATTTCTTTGCAGTTACAGGGATGAGTTCTCCGTTTCTTTTGGGATGTCACCTAACAGCTACCCTTACTTTCTAGAGTCTAGCTCTGCAGTTCCTAAAAGCCAGGAGGTGAAGATCATGGCGGGGGGGGGGGGGGGGAACCACCTTAAAGTCAGTCTGAGTCCATGGATTAATCAGACACTGTAGTCCAGGTACCTGATTACTATGTAATCACACCTCTCCACAAACCACAAACCACAAACTCTCCAAAAATTTAGGACCCTGCTCACCAAGTAAAAAAAATATTTGAGTGGATTAACAATATTCTATCCATCTGGGAGTCATGGAAATCCACAAAGAAGAGTTGGCCAATGAAATTAGTCATGAGTGTGGCTTTTTGGAACATTTGTAATCTGGTGATAGTGCACTTTTTAATCTAAAAAGCCACTCAACAGTGGACTGATGGTCAAGGTATATATGATCAACCTTCCATACTCATTACCACTGACAAGAATCTGATATTAACCATTGGAACAGTTTCCTCAAAAGTCTACTGAAAAAAAAGATTCCTGGGAAATTCTACTTGTAAGAAAATGGAGTAGACATAATTTTCTAAATTTGCCCTGCTAGTACAACTAAAAATCCTGACTTAATATCTGGAACACCTTGTTTTATTGTGCTTTGCTTTGTTGTGCTTCTCAGATATTGTGGGTTTTGGTTTTTTTGTTTTTGTTGTTTCGTTTTTGTTTTTTCAAATTGAAGTTGTGGCAACCCTGTGTTGAGCAAGCCTAGTGGTGCCATTTTTTCAAACAGCATTTGTTCACTCTTTGTCTCCAGGTCACATTTTGGTAACTCTCAAAATATTTCAAACTTTTTCATTATTATATTTGTTATGGTGATCTGTGATCAGTGATTATGACTTGCTGAAAGCTCAGATGGTAGCATTTTTTAGCAACAAAGAACTTTTAAATTAAGGCATGTACATCATTTTTTAGACATAATGTTATTTAATAGTTAATTGACTATAGTATAGTGTAAATATAACTTTTATATGCCCTGGGAAACCAAAAGATTCATTTGACTCACTTTATTGCAATATTCACCTTATTGCAGTGGTCTGGAACTGAACCAGCAATATCTCCAAGGTATGCTTGTATATATAAGCATATGAAGACTTTGAAAGTTTGTAAAAAGCAGGTAGACAAGCTAATAATCTAGGGACCCAAGGAATGACATGATGGTGAGTTCCCTGGGTTTTCTTTTTGTCTCATTGTCTCAGTCTTGGAAAACTACAGACAAATTTCCCTCATGAACATAGATACAAAAATCCTTAAAATGTTAACAAACAGAATACAGCAATATATAAACATAACTAAGTATACACCATGACCAAGTGGGTTTTTTCCCAAGGATGGAAGGCTTATTTAATATTCAATCAGTGTAATCCATGATATTAACAGCCTAAAGAAGAAGCCTAAAAATCACACAGATATATCAGTGAATACAGAACAAACGTGTCACAAAATTCAGTACCATAAAAATGCTCAGAAACAGAGAAATAGAGAGGAATGTCCACAATTTGTCCCACAAAAAAAAAAAAAAAAACTATTGCTAATATTACACTTAATGTAAAAGGCTAGGTGTTTTCCATACATATGTTGTGACTTTATTTCTATAACATCCTTTACAATGACAAAATTATAGAAAGGGAGAACAGCTTCATGATTGTCAGGGGTTAAGGAGGTGGGAAGTGGGGTTGGGGATGGAAATGAGTATGGCTATTAAAAGGCAACTCGAGGGATCCTGTGGTGATGGGTATGTTCTGTAGCTTGACTGTATCCATGGCATATTGTGCTATAATTTCGCAAAATGTTACCATTGAGGAAAACAGCAAATGGTACATGAGCTTTCTCTGTATTATTTCTTATAACTGTATGTGCATCTACAATGATCACAAAATAAAAAGCTTAATTAAAAAAATATTTTTGACTTTACCTCCCTCACCTCCTTCTGGTCAACCTAGTGAAGCAGTTTGGTCACTGAGCAAAAATGCAGCTCTCTCCAGTAAGGGATAATATCCTCTCAACCATTTCCTGGGTCATGTTTGGGATGGAAGGGGTGGAGGGTGATACAGAAGTATTTTGAATATTCAGAAGTCTGCCCTGGCCATTCTTGGGCACGAATGTTTCATTCTTTCCCCTAATGGCAACACTAGGCCATCTAGGTTGGTATAGCTTCCAGGTGCAGACTGGCCAAAAGAGGGCCTGGAGGATTCAAATTTCATTCTGGTTCAGCCACCTGCTTTCTCTTGTTGGATTGACATGGTCCTAGATCATAAGAATAATGAACACTTGGTTAAGTACAGTGCTCACTGAGTCTCCCATGCAGGCCCAACTGGAGGACATAAGGGATCTCTCTGTAAGTTAATATTATTAAGATGTGTTTTTCCTTCTTGCACCTGACCATCTAGACAAAAGATGTGGGTATGAAGAGGGTATGATTAGAAAAGAGGTGAGGTTATAGCTACTGGAAGGGACACACTGATTTTGTAGAGACAAAAGGACAGCAACAACCCTAGGGAAGGACATCATAAACCCTGGGACATAGGGAGGAGTAGATGGGAACATTAATTATACATTGTCTTTCAGAACTGCTGCTGGGGTCTGTCTCCTCAAGGAAAATGCTGTGACGCAACTCTCCTAAACTGTGCAAGCATCTTAGATGACACAGTGGGTACGTCATTTGCTGTCAAACAGCCCTGACCACAATTTAATAACTGTTCCCTTAACCTCACCATAAAGTTTATTGGAAACAAAGGGTGAATCCAGCTCCTACACATTCCCTGACAACACATGTCAACACCTCTGAATATTTTCTTCCTTCCCATTCTCAGTCATCCCATGAGCTAGTGACATAGACAAACAGGACAGGGTAGACTGACTATCCTCGGCTAGTCTTTCCAAACTAGGGACTAGCTTCAACTATCCCTAAGGCCTAACAGCTCCTGGCTAGGAGGCCACATTGGAGGCACTGTCAATCTATGCCTCCTACCCCACACTGATGCAGACTCCCCTGAGTTGATACAACCATGGTCTTTCCAGGGACACTGTGTGCATCTCCAAGAGTGTATTTCTTGAAGTGAAGGCCAGGCACTAACTTACCTCCCTCCCCAAAACACAGTGAGTTGCACCCTAGGAATTATGACAAGAGACCTATAAGTGTTTAAACAAACACCACCAGCAGATCATGTAACTCTCAGACCAAGAAGAAGATCTCTCAGAACTGAGACTATCCTTAGTTACTTGAAGATGCTTCCTGGAGGAATAAATGACTCATTACTTATGTGGAACTTGCTGGAATCTTCTTCTATGATGGCAGTCATCCAATTAGAAAAAAATGGCCCCAAATTACTCTAGCTAAAATGATATTGTTCCTCAAAG